CCCCCCCCCCCCCCCCCCCCCCCGCCGTGTACACAGGGTGAATGAAGGAAAAAGAAAACAAGAATAGCCCTGATGCCCCAGCCTGTCATCTCGGCTACTGAGGAGGCCGAGGGAGGAGGACACACGCTCGCTCACAGCCTGCGCTGGCTGCACGGAGGGTTTGAGGCAGGCTGGGTGCTTAGTGCGACTGTCTCAAAGAGAAAAGAGAATCGAGAAGAGCTAGGGATATAGCTCAGCGGTGCATGCTGACCAGCATGTGGGCCCTGGGTTCAATTAATAGGAACACACACACACACACACACACACACACACACACACGGGGGGGGGGGCAGAAAGAAAGCATCAAAAAAGAAAACAAAATCGCCTACCCCCTCACTGCCCAAATAGCACATTGATATTCTGAGACAGGATCTTTCTATGGCTCTCTGGTCCGGAAGTACCCATGTAGGCCAGGCTGGCCTCAGGCAGACGCACCTCACCTGCCTCTTCCTTGGAGTGGTGGAATTAAGTCAGGTCATGCCCTGTCCCAGGCTGGCGGGCTTTGTTTCCTAGCTGGGTTTTCATTGTTCTTAATTGTTCCATCCTTTAAAAACAAACAACAACAAAAACTTCCCTATTTCTTTCTCGCTCCCCACTATCCTTTCCCTCTCTGTGTGTCTGTATCTGTCTGTCTGTCTGTCTGTCTGTCTGTCTCTCTGTGCTGCTTCAAAATCAGGGCCTCAGCCAGGCGCAGTGGTGCACTCCTGTAATGCCAGCACTCGGGAGGCAGAGGCAGACGGATTTCTGTGAGTTCAAGACCAGCCTGGTCTGCAAAGCAAGTCCAGAACAGCATGGCTGCACAGAGAAACCCTGTCTGGAACAAAACAAACCCAGGGCCTCAGGCATACCAGACAAGAGTTTCAGGGTAAAACTTGCCTTAAAGTAATTTTTAAATACATTTTTCCCACGTTCTGTGGGTTCCGTGTCCTGGCTTCTCTGGTAACTATGGTTAGACTGATTAAGTGAAGCCCTAACTTGAAAGCTCTCTGCTTTTTGTTTCGTTTTCTTAATTCTATTTGTGTATGTGTGTATGCACATGTATATTCATGTGTGTGTACCCACGTGCAAATGCATATTTGTGTGTGTGAGTGTGCATGTGTTATTCATGAGTGAATGAGGTCCATTTGTGCCCAGGTGTAAAGGGAGAGGAGAATCTTGGCTTCTGTCCTCCCCGTCCACCTTGTCCGCAGCTCCTGCTCACTGCTGTGAGCCGAGCAGAGGAGCTGGGGCTCCTTACAGGTCACTGCATTTGACGCTGATGGGTTCCGGGATCTGAACCGCATCCCCTAGCTTCGTGCTTGGCACCCCATCCCCACTTCCACACACCAAAAGCTATCCCATCACTCAGTGCGCATAAAGTGCACGCCAGGGTGCAGTGTGCAATCATCACAGCTCTAATCCAACCCCACCCCCTTGACCCACCACTCTCTCTCCCCAACTTTCTATATTTAGGTGCACTTAAATTTACACACACACACACACACACACACACACACGGATGTGGAGGCCAGAGGAGCTTGCAAAAGTCATTCTCTCCTCCTACCGTCTACCGTCTGAGTCCTGGAAATCAAACTGGAGCTGTGAGGTTTGGTGGCAAGCATCCTCACCGGCTCGCCCATCTTGCAGCCTATGAGAAAGGACATCTGTCTACACCTGGATCATTGCACGTCTCACGATCGTGCCGCCAACAACAGGGTTTCATTCTCCTTTATGACTAAATATTATCCCACGGTGTCAATACACTATTCTTTTTAAAAGTTTTAACAGGTCATACATTTTACATGTATGGGTGAGTTGTTTGCATCTGTGTTTGTGTACATGAGCACCAGGTACCTGCTGACATTACAAGAGGGGGTTGGAGGCCTGGCACTGGAGTTACAGGCGCACTGATTGGTGTCCAGGTGGGCGCTGGGAGTCGAACCTGGGCCGCCTCCAGAATACCGTCGGGTGCTTGTTCCTCCACTGCAGGGTAGGACACAGCATCGGCCGAGTCTCGAGGAGGCTGCGCCCATCAGAACAGAGCAGGGAGGCAGCATGGGGCTGGGCAGAAGCAGGAGGCTTGCCCCCAGACTGAGCTCCATTAGACGGCCCTGTGTCCTGACGCTTCCTCAGCCCCTCATCTCACCAAGACACAGCTGGCTGGGGAGCTGGCACCCAGCCTGCTTGAACTCACGCCTGTGGGAAGCGGTTCAGATTCAGTCATAACATAGTCCACAGGAATGCTGGGACACTGTGGGAAACGTGGGCAAAATCGTCTTTTCTACCAAAGGGTTAAATTCAACAAAACTCCATTAAAAATATGTACATATAAAGAAGCCTGTAGGCTTAGATTTTTCAGAAACCAGAACCTTCCATTTCAAAGCCTTTTGAAGGCCACCATGTTGGCACATGCCTTTAATCCCAGCACTCTGGAAGCAAAAGTTAAGTGGGTCACTGTTGAGTTTGAGGCCAACCTCGTCTACGCAGCAGGTTCCAGCCCAGGCAAAGTTACACAGTGAGACTGTGTCTCAAAAGAGAAAAAATAAATAATAATAAGATAATAAAAGGCTGCTTGACAGAAATTCAGATTCCTTCCGGCCTAATCTGAGGCCTGTAAGCCTCAGGTGCACACAGAGGCCACGGAGGCCACTAGCTGGTGCAGGCTCCCTCTCTGCCTGACTGTCCTCTGGGCCGTCACTGGGGCAGTGGCTTCGCAAGGCTCCCTCACCCAGCCCTGGGCCTCGCCACTGCCCTGACTTGCCCCGGCAGTCCCCACACTGTAGACTCGTTTGCGCGCTTCCACCTGGCCCCGCTCAGTCAAGCCTTTCTACTCGTTGAGGTAATCCGTTTACTTTTGTCGCCTAGACATGACCAGGCCAGGCAAGGGCAAACCTGCCCTGCTCAGAAGCCCTGACTGAGGCTGCTTCCTGTGGGAGCCAGTGGCCACCACTCTTCTGTAAAACCGCTGAGGAGAGGTCAGTGCGTGTGCACAAGCTGGCGATGGCGGGGAGGAAAGGGAAGGGCAGTTAAATGATGAAGATGATGTGGCTGCCTCCGAGGGGGACTAACCGGCAACAGAAAACAGACACTTCAGCGTTCTGTCACCTCACACCTGGTCGGCTGACATGCTGCTTTTGTTTCTGTGTTTCACAAAGATGCTGAGCAGCGCTGCAGAAGCCCAGATGGAAGCCACAGCACCGCCGGGCCGCACTCACCACAGGCCACGGCCTTATCTCCTTGCTCCAAATGCTGTTTTAAACTGACAGACTGTCTCACGTGTCTGTGGGGCGGAAAGTGAGGCTGTAACTGTGGACACGATGCAGAAAAACTAAATCAAACCAACAAACACGCCCATCAACTCAGATAACTGAAACTTTTGTGGCAAGAACATTTTAACTTGTCTATTTTAGAAGATTTAGTACAATGTATTTGTATAGCTATTTTTAATTTTTTTTTAAATTTGAGTATGGGTGTTTTGCTTCTGTATAAGTCTGCGCCTCATGTGTGTCTGGTGCCTTCAGAGGCCAGAAGAAGGCGTTGGGTCCTCTAGCTTAGATGGCTGTGGCTGCCATGTGGTGCTGGGAACGGAATCTAAGTCCTCTGGAAGAGCAGGCCGCACTGCTAACCACTGAGCCATTTCTCCTGCCCTACAAAGCACCTTTACTCTCTGGAGCCATCACACTGTGTCTTTTAAAGCCCTTGCTCCTCCCAGCTGAGTCTGTACCCTGCAGCCCTCATCTCCATGCTTCCCTACCTCTGTTGTCCAAAACCACACTGTATCGTCTGCTTCCATGAATTTGCTTGTTTTAGATTCTGCAGACAGGCAGTGATGTACAGACCTGCAGTATTTCAATTTCAGTAGCGTTTTGGTTTGGTTGGTTTTGGTTTCGGTTTTTTTAAGACAGAGTTTCTTTGTGTAGCCCTGGCTGTCCTGGAACTCACTCTGTAGACCAGGCTGGCCCGGAACTCACAGAGATCCGCCTGCCTCCGCCTCCCAGAGAGCTGGGATCACAGGTGTGTACCACCACACCTGGCTAACTCCATTTGTATTATTTAAAGCGACAGAAATTTATTATTTAAACTTCTTTCCTTTTGAGGCTGAGTCTATGGGCACCCCAGCCTGAACATGTCCTTCTCATCATTATTTCCAATGGGGATAAATTTATCATAATTTGTGTGTGTGTGTGTGTGTGTGTGTGTGTGTGTGTGTGTGTGTGTGT